ATATTTTAATATATATTCTACTTATTATGTTACATATTCCACTACATATATAAGAATCATTCATTGATATACTCATATATATACTTATATGCCTCACTGTTTCATATTCCACTACATTAAACACCAAATCTATTTACACCCTTAACTACAAATCTTTTGTATTTCAATTTCTCTATGCATTAACTACAAATATCATGAGGTAAAGCATTGCTCCATAAGCTCCCACAGCTGCCCGTCGGCCTGGGCGATTACAACCCCAAAAAGCGGCCACAAAACAAATGTCGTTCGTGCCCCAAGCCGTGGCGCAATGCGAATCGCATTACAACGAGACAAATGAGACAAACGAGAGAAATGAGCCAAATGAAGTCTGTTCGTTTGGAATGCATAAATTTGAAAACAATTAGATTCAATTTTGGGTGCGCGCAATGACGAACCGCAGCAAGAGGCGAGACGTGCAACACCTTTCGGGTTAGCCCGACCCGGACCCGGACCCGGACCCGGACTCAAGTGTTAATGTTGCAAATGACTTTTGGCTATTAAGTCATACAGCGGCTCCCAGCAGAGATGAGCGCAGCTCACAAAAATGTTCACTTAATATTCCCTTTGATATGAACAGCAGGAGTTGGGGCCAGCTTCCTGCTGCTGCTCCTGCTCCTGCTGCTGCGGCTGCTGCTGCTGCTCCTGCTGCTGTTATGATACAGGTATGCTACTATATGGAGTTGGGCTCTTTACTTTTGCCCTGATACGTGCCGCTGCCTAATGAATTTTGCGTACGCGCGCTGATTGTTCGGGGTGTAAGGTTTTTGTAATGAGACAATCTCGGAGGAGCAGCAGCAGCAGCAGGAGGAGGAGCAGCAACACCAACACATGTGCAACTCACAGTTAGCGAAATGTATCTGCCATAAACTTTGCTATCAACATGTCGCCATCGTCGCACGTTTGGGGTGCGTTTCCATTAACGCATTTGCATAAATATTTACATACATGTGCACGGGTAGAGCAGGTGGGGAGGTGGGGGAGTTGACATGCCCCATTCAATCTTTTATGCAACGCCTGGCCGAAACTTTAAAATGTTGCGCTATTTCCGTTTGCTCCCCCCATTCCACACACTCACACGATTTTTTTTATTGTTTGCGAAAGGGTGTCTAACAATTTGTCTGGCACCCCTCTGGCAGAGCCAGTGACTTGTTTATGCTGTCTGTCGCAAACAGTCAACCCTCGCTGGAGTCAACCCGAACGAACGAACGAACACACACACTGGTTGGCTACAGTCTTAAGCTAGTGAAATATAATTTCCTGCTTGTTGTGCACATTCTTAATCTACGGAAGGAAACGGGAATAAAGTCGAAGCATGTGTTGGCTACAGAAATTCGTGATTGGCTCTGAAATCAAAGTGAATGCGTGCAGGCATCCGATGAGAGAGCTGTTATTAACAGCTCTGATTGGAAATACTAGTTCGCTGGAATTATATGTGAGTCGCCATTTTGATGTTTGATTGAATATATGTATTTAACTGGTAAAATTCATTACAGAGCTGCTCACATGTATGATTGCAAATGTTCAGCTGGAATTATGGCTCTATAGAGAGCTGCTGAATGCTTGTCTAATTGGAAATGTTAAACTCAGACTAGAACTGAGACATTAGTTGGATTGATCAGAGAGCTGTAAAAAAGTCTGCTTGAATATATGAATGTATGTTGGAGTCTTCAGAGAGCTGCTGCAGATTAAGAATGTTTAGCTGCAAGTATGTTAGTTAACAGTTGAATTCTGCAGAGAGCTGCTGCTAACATTTCTGATTGAGAATTTTTAACTGCAACTATGAATGTTTAACTGCAGAGAGCTGCTGCTAACATTTCTGATTGGAAACGTTTGACCAAGACTATGAATGAGATTTCAATTGGGCTCGACAAAGAGCGGTGAACATATCAGATTGAATGAATTTGAAGGTGTATTTAATAAAAAGCTATTGCCAACATGCCTAATTGGAAATGCGAGCAATTCCAATTAATTCCGCAAAGAGCTGCTGTTAACATGTCCGATTTGTTATGTTTAACCGTAACTATGTTATTTTGCAGTTGATCGGAAATGTTTTATTGTGACAATGATTGACATTTAAATTGGATTCTTCAGAGAGTTGTTATTGTTATGTCAGATTAGAAATATTTAGCTCAAACTAATGTGCTGAGCGTTTAGTTTAGAGAGAGAGAGAGAGAGAGAGAGAGAGAGAGAGAGAGAGAAAGACAGACCTGTTGTCAATAACAGCTCTGATTGGAAATATTTAGCTACAACTATGGCTGACTTTTCTGCTAATGCTTGCCTTTTATAATATATGAGCTTATTCCTCTCTAGAGCAGTCTAAATCTCAGCTTTACCATTTTCCTTCAAACATATATGAATGCATGCAAAATAATTTTTTATTTCAGACCCACCCACTTCGGCCTGAAAAAACGAGGTTGAAAATTCAAATTTTCATATATTAGCATAAGATTTTCTAGCAATAGCCCCCAAAAAAAGCCAGACAAACGCAGAATTTAGTTTGCAAATAAGCAAAACATGAGTGCGTGTGTGTGTGTGACAGTCAGTGCGTGTGTGTGTGTGTGTAAGTGGTATGTAAATTTGAGTTAGGCAACAATTTGTCAGACAGCGAACAATGGCAAGAGGCAACCGGCAACAGTTTGGCAATAGGACTCGAACTGAAATCAAACAAAAGCTAAAGCAAAGGCAAAAGCAATTACAAGTCTGGTAGGGCAGGGGGCGGGGCGCGGCCATGTCTCTGGCAAGAGAATCAAACGAAATTACAAAATTAAACTGATTTAATGGCATTGGCAGCTGCTCAGCTCGGGATCCATTTACATGATTCGCTCTCCGAACATTTTCTCTCATATCAATATTATTTCTATGCTCGCCTGGAAGGGGGACTGCGAGATGGCGAGAGGGAGGGTGGGAGGTGGTACACAGATGTCTGATTGACAAGCAAGTCGAGACGCTGGCACAGACAGAGGCTCGCTCGTTCAATGATTTGATATGAAAATTGCCTGGAATTATTGAATTAACATATGCTCGAATTGAGCTCAAGCATTTCAATGTCTGCCTCAGCTCGGAGTTGGGCAGAGGCAATGGCAATTTGACTTTGTGATTGTGTGTGTGTGTGTGTGTGTGTGTGTGTGTGTGTGAGTGTGTCTGTGTCTATGTGATGGCATCTTATTACCAAAGCGTATTAGACATGATTGATTGCATTGAGCAATAATGATTTGTAGCCGAGGCATGTTTAAGTGTCTCCCTCTATATGTGCTTGAGCTTCTGTGTGTGTGTGTGTGTGTGTATGTGTGTGTAAGTGTCTGTGTGTGAGGGGGCGCGCTTAGGTCACGTGCAAGTGTGTGAAAGTGAATTGCATGACTGACTGCTTTGCCAGCTTATTTTCGAGAGCAGCTGTAAACGTCTAAGGGTATTGAGCCACATGATTATTCTGGCCAAAAGAAAAAAAAAATTGCATACTTTATGCGATGCTGGAGGTTGCGGTTAAGGCTGTCAAGTGAAAGTGCAGCGCAGCTAAAATACAGCTTTAATTCAGGGTTCGTTCAATAGAATTCAATTAATTAGTTAGTGCAATGATATAAGAAGATTTATGTGTTATGGTTATCATCATGTAATGTAAACATGTATGCATAAACAACATTCCTAACATTATTCATTGATAATGTTAAAGTCAAGCCTGCTTACAGATTCCTAATTCTGTTAAATTTTCTTGCAATTGCTTCCTACTGTTGCAGTTGTATTAGTGAGCGACTGAGCTCTCGCGATCGAGTGGTTTTTAACAGTGTTGAGCGCTTGCATCATACAAGTTGTATGTAGTTGCTCTAAAAGCATCACTCGAATGAGCTTAGCTTTTACATGCACGTTGCTCATTGTCCTGCATGTGTTAATTTTCACTTCAAGAAGCAGCGAGCGAGAGAGCGACAAATATAGCTGTCACTGTTAAATAACTCAATCGGTGATAGTTATTGCTGAACATAGTGTTGGATGTGAGTGAGAGCGAGAGGGCTACGCTTCGGACATGCTCGTTTTGATTTCGTTGAATGAAGTGAGCACGAAGAGGAATGAGCAGTATGAAAACGCTCTCAGTGCACAGCAGCCAATGGGCTTTAATTCATTTGTAAAGAGTGATAAAGTGCAGAGGCCGATCAATGTATACAGCATGCCAATTGGAATGCTCATATAAGAGCTAAACTCTTCTTAAATATTGACATCTCTATTTCTATTAAATATTGATTTTTTTAATCTTAAATCATTTTAAATTTATAAAAAGAGAATAATCATCATTCTCTTTAAGTACACAGCTTAGAAAATGTCAGTCGAGTCAGTGGTCTATCAGGTTCTTGCTTATAATCAAGAGGTTATCTAGCAGCTCAAGAAGTTTCCCTTAATGCTTTACAAAAATTAAGTTCTCCGAGTGTCAAGAAAGTTGTTTATGATGCTGCAAGGGACACGGCTGTAATTGTGATGCGCCACATATAGATTTGTTGTTTCTGTGAATTACTCTCACCTTGGGCCAACTGTTTGCAATTGTCCACATAGCTGATTTTTCGTTTTCAGCTGCTGGGCAAATGTTTGCTGTGTCTACATTTCATGGCGCTGACCCAGTTAGCAGCCGTAWAGAGCATATACTATATATATACAGTCGAGTTACTTAAGTATCACTGTAACTTTCTTAGAGTGAGAGAGAGATAGATAGAGAGAGAGAGAGAGTGGGGGTGGCATGGGGCGAGGGTGTAGATTTTTAGACAAACTTTCACTTGGCTCAACGGCAAACTTACCTCGAATCGATGCGCTGCAAATAGTCCAGGCGGCTCAAGTGCAATTCGCGTAAATGAAACAAGTTTAAAAATGCTACAGCTGGCAAGTGGGCGAAACGATTGCCGCCCAGGTTCAAATAAGTGAGATTTGAAAGTTTCGAGAGCTGCTGGGTGGGCACCATCTGCAATGAGAGAGAGAGAGAGAGAGAACGAGAGATTTAGAGCTGTAGAATGAAAGAATTGCGGAAAAAAAATCATTTAATTTCAAGCGTTTAAACAAAGTGAAATGGCAGCATCGGGGCCAAGCTTATAAAATGTTAATGCCATCCACTCAAATCTGAAAGCGTTCTGCGGCTGCACTTGATAGTTGCCACTAAGCTGCTGCTGCTCCGCCTCAACCCCCCTTTTTAGACCAAAGCGATTTGTTTCGCGCTGCTTTAAGGGCAACTCCGGCTGTTGTTCAACAATAAAATGTGAAACACTTAAAAAGCGCAGTTTTTGGCAGCGACTGCAGCTGCGGCGGCGTCAGCGGAAACGGAAACGTCATGTACGTCATGTACATCCGTGCGCCATTTTGTGATGTCTGGCCAAATCGCTTTGTTAGCCGCCTGTGTGTATGTGTGTGTGTGTGTGTGGGTTGGCAATACAATCAATCTTGCAGCAAATTTGTTAGAGTCCCAAACGATACCTACATGAGAGCGTGTTCTAATAGAGACTGCTCGACTAGCAGATACCCTGAGTCCTGCTAAAAGCTGAAATCAAAATCACATCCCAAATAACACATAGACACACACACACACACACACACACACACACACACACACACACATAGGGACTGTCATAATCACACACCTCCATCTGCTGTTACATACATTTCCCCAAAATCATAATCCCCTGATTTTCCATTTTCAATGAAAAGTCACGGCAAAAGGTTTCCTTTTTTTTTTTTTTTTTTTTATTCTAATCATTTAATTTTATAAGTATATTATGAAATAATTTTTTTTTTTTTTTTTTTTTTGGCAAGCGCACAGCTCTTGACTCTGCTCCAATGGCTCATAAAAATAAAGTGTAGCTGTAGCGCCTGCAGCCCCTGTAACTCCTCTCCCGCTCCCATTCGACGCTCGCATGCAGTTGGTAGCGAGTCGGAAGCGACGTGCCAAGCGTCCGGACACGTGAAACGCCTGCGATAACCTAATGAACTGCGTAGGAACTGGGGGCGCCGGTCGCCGGTCGCCGAAGGCCTCTGCCAAGCTCATAAGCCAAAACCGAAACCAAAAGGAGAAGCAGACGCAAAGAAAGAGAACAAATTAAAAGTATTACGCATACGCAATGTAGGCCAAGCGCTGCAATTGTTTAACCTAATGGCAATTTTCAGCTCGTTCCACATTTTGTTGTTGTTGTTGTTGTTTTTTTCTTTTTTTGTAACCCTTTGCTCAGTGTTTGCCCAGCACTCAAACGGGGCGCGCGGGCGGATGACTAATTAAAAGGTTCGTGCTGTATAGAGAGAGGGAGAGTGGTGGAAAGAGAGAGAGAGAGAGGGGGCGGGCTGGCCAGTTCGTTTGCCAGCGCAGCGCAGCGTGAAAAAGAGAGGGCGAGAGAAATATATGAGGCTGGGATAGAGACTGGGGCTGGAGCAGGGGCTGGGGCAGAGCCAGAGGTAAAGTGGCATAAAAGAAAGCGAAATTATATTGACTTTGATTTCTCAAATTAATTTCCCTTTTCGCTTTGAGTTAACGGCAGTTACCTTCAGTTGCCGCTGATCCAATTTTTTATTGAATGCAAAAGTTTGCAAATTTAATTTAAAGAGCCAAGGCATTTCCCATTTTGACTTTAGTTTATGTAAGAGAATTTCAACCTTAGAGCAGGAAATATTTGCGCATCGGAACTCAAGCCCAAATAACTCTGAAGTATTTTCTTATGTAAATGTGAAAATTGTGCAGAGCTAAATAATTCGATTGTATGCAAATTCCGAAATGCATGCATTCCCTCGATATTTTTGCAATTAACTGACACGAATGCTGAATGCAATAATATTTATGCGCGATATGCAAAATCAAAGTTCACAACTTAAATCACAATAAATCGACAACAGCAACAACAACAACAACAGCAACGAATATCAACCACAAAAGGCAACAACAGCGGGCATATTTTTGTTTAAGCTACAAAATATTGAAAATTACACAAAAGTTATTTTCCAGCATTTCTGTTGCCATTTGAAATTGCTGGAAAATGTTGAAAATCGAATTATTGCAAAATATTGCGCATTGATGCAGAGGCGCCTGACCCCAGACACAGCAAACAAAGGCTTATTTATTGGAGCCCGATCTTTTGTGTTTGAATTTGGCGCTTGCTTTTAAATTATTTTTCAATTTTTGTTTTTTTGCCTATATCTATTAATAAGCAGCGAACCAAGAGCGCAAAGAATAAATTTATTTGTATTTTTGTTGGGCGCTCATAATAGAAATTTGGAATTATTCAAGAGCATTGCTATTTTGTTGTTTGCTTAAAAATATTGTCAATTTGAATATTTAATATTTATATGAACATCAATTTAATAAAGGGCAAGCAATATTAATTGCAATATATAATATATATTAAAATTAATTTAATATGTGGCGAACAATATTAATTTTTTTTATTGAATATATATTTACATTAATTTAATATATGGCAAGCAATGCATTGATTTTATGTTAATTTATAAAAATAATATAGCATTTATATAATTATTTTAATTAATAAAATATGTTAATAAAAACACTCTTCATGCTATTGTTAATTAGTTTATATAATATTGAAGGTATTTAATATATATATTTTCTTCTGTTTTACTCTCTCTCTCCGTAATTTAAGCAAATATAAAACAAAAAATATTTTGAGCAAAAGCTTACAAGAAACGATAGCTAAAAATAATTAGAAAGGTGAATAAATTGTTATTCAAAGTTAAAATTTTTTTGTATTTTTTTTTATAATTTTATTAAAC